TTGGTATAACCGAGGGAAGAGACACTTAGGCTAGTGGTGCATTCTGACTATGAGAATCACTTGGCTGGAACAAAGCAGAATCAACGTGTTCTTCAGAAGTCATTAGCTCAAACCATTCTGCTTTCCCCAAGGTCAAGCAAGACCCTGGGAGGGACAATCTTTGGAAGGAGATAAGGACAAAGAAGATAAGCACGCAACAGTGTGGGCAACATTGGGAAAAAAAGGAGAGCTGTAAAAAAGATGTTTTTGCAGGCAGCTTAGAGGGAAACATGAAGAGAAAGATGCACTTGAACAAAGACAAAAGGTCTATGGCGAGGATTTTAAAGCCAAAAAGGATGCCTGAATGAACCATTTTTGTTGGTGCAAGTATAGGGTCTAATATGCAGCGATTTCAAACAGAATCCATAACTGGGGATTTCTTCCATTGACCCAAAAAAATCATGCGGATCCATGGGAGCTCAAACTCCGATCCGAAATCAGATCGTGTGAGAGCATTGCTGCCGTGAACAAGCATCACTGCCATCAATCAGCGTAGTATACGTCCAGTTTCCTTGCTCGAAGAATGCAGTGTGCAAATCACAACTCACATTTATCAAAAATAGAAGTGCTGAAAATCGTAACAACTGAAAGAGTCGTAACTAGGGGAAATTATTCATTGATGGCTCTGCCCTCTCTTGTTCCTGTATTATGCGGTTGCAGAGTAATCTCTGCATTCCTCAGTTTTCATTACGTGGTCCTTTCTATATAAATGTACACGAGAAAATATTTCAAATTGAAATTATGATAACTAACACACACCAAAAGCTGAGAGTTACTTCAATACTCCAGACTCATGTGAGGCTGCCTTTCATGTCTCTCCTCAATCGATGGGCGGTTATCTTGAAAATTTCTTAGCGAGAATGTCAAATTACAGTATGTCCCTATGTAAAGTACAGCTCACATCCTCCAGCAAGCTGGCGGGGTGGGGGGGGGGGGGGGGGTTGCCCAGTATCCTTGTGGATGGGACCAGTTGGATTGAATGGCCTGTTTCTGTGCCATATTTGGCAGCCATTTTGCACACAGCAATGTCCCACAAACAATCGCGGAGTGAATGACCAAATTTATTTGTTGCCAGGACACAGCAAGAAACTCCCGTCTCTTTTCGAACAGTGCCGTGGGATCTTTAATGTCCATCTGAACAGGCAGATGGCACCTGGTTTAACATTGCATCTGAAGGACAGATCACTCTATGGATAACAATAAAAAATCCTTACAGTTGTGTAGTGCCTTATCACGTCATCAAGAATATCTGCCTCTGGGATTGGGATAACAGCAGAAATACTGGTCTTAATTTTACACTGCACTTGCCCCTCACTCAGAGGAGCCAGATGTCCAGAGTGGCTGGTGTAGGAAATAGAAAGGGTCAACACTGATGCAGTAGAATTTGTTCTTCTGAGGAAAAGGCTCAGGCGCATTAATCTGACCTGGCAGTGCTTGCTGTTGACACTAGCTGGTTGGGAAAGTGTTCCATTTCTCAGCACGAACATCTCTGACCTTAATGAACCTTAAAATGTAACCTCAATCTCCCAGTGGAGTCCTTTAGCTCAGTGGTTAAGAGCACTCGCCTCACATGTAAGAGACCTGGGTTCGATTCCCGGGCAGGGCGAAATGTTGGGCAAGTTTCCTTACTCCACACGTCACTGTTTACCGAGCAGTAAGTAGGAACCTGGTTGTTAGTCAATTGGCGGATCGCTTTGCCGGGGATAATAATTCCTTCAAAAAAATAATAATAATTTGGTCACTCAATCCACAACCGTTTGTGGGACAGTGCTGTGCGCAATTGGCTGCTGCGTTTCGTCCACAACATATACAGTCAATTCACTTTACAGTACATTCTGTGAAGCGCTTTGCGGGGTCTCGAAGACGTGATAAGGCACTATATCAAATGCAAGAATTATTATTAGTATTATTACTACAGGAAGCCACAAGGAAGGAAAAAGGATTGTTCAGCCCAAACCCTCTCTTTCCACAGACCCTATCATGGACTTCACCCTAAGCCCTTTAACTCCCAGGGAAACATTCTACTCAGGTATTCTCCCATCCCAAAGGCAATCAAATGATAGAACAAAATTAACCTGTCCTGACATTTGCACTATTCACACCTATTGTGCTACGTCATCACAGAAACCAAAGTGGTTGTCCAGCAGGGAGGTGCTAATATATCCCTTATTGTTCAACTTGAAACAATACTTGACCATCTGTCTTTTTTTAATAACAGTAAATAGTTCCTTCAGCTCTTCACTAACATCACAAATGTCATCAGCATTAGGGCTGCAGTGAGGGAAGCAGTGAGCAGAACTCGCCAGTGCTCCATATTACCCGAGAGTAAAATGGATGAGGCAGTAAAACCTGATGGTGCCTCCCTCTCAGCGCTCTGCAACAGCCATTGATTTATACAATTGGGGGATAAATAAAACATATGACATCTCTCATAACGCCAGAGAGATGTGCTCTAAAGTAGACCTGGAATGTAAGGATTTTTTCCCAAAAAAACATCAGAAATGTGTAGTATTAGGCTCAATAATATTTACTCTTCAAAAACAAATTAGGAGCTTCATAAAGTCACTTATTTTTAGTTAGAAAGTGGTATTTTGGGGCAGGATTTACAACTATTGCTCATTAATATGCATCAAACAGGATGCATCAGTGAATGTACTAGGTGGCAACATTGTCAGGTTAAGTCTCTTTGATGGGGAAAGACCCACCATGTGGCATAGAAACACTTTCTGTTGTGTATCGCCAAGGCAAGACAATAATACGCGTAAAACATTTTTTAAAAATGCCATTAACATGTACATCTTAATTGGATTTTCATGTCTTAAGTTTTACAACTTTCGGTTAAAAAGAGTTCTGTGTTTGACGTTCTGTAATCTGGATAGAAATGTTACAAAAATAACCTACTCTATAAGTTAGTAAATTACAATTAGTTCTATTTTAAGTGGGTGTGTTTGTTTGTCTGTTCGCCTCAGTGAAGATCGAACAGAGCGAACATTGTGGCAGCTCTGTGATCCAAGGAAAATCCAGTTCAGCTTCAGTGTCTGTCTTTGGGGCTGGCGTGTCTGTCAGAGTAAAGGCAGATTGCTATTGTGTCAGCTGTGGTTGAATGAAACCCAGAGAGGTTAAGCCGTCAACCACATGATAAAAAACCTTTGCAAGCTAGAACAGGCAGAAGCGTACAACATGAGGATGAGAGGGTGAAATCAAATGGGCTGAAGTTGCCTTCTTCATCAAAACTAATCTTGTGGATTCCAAAATTGTGTCATGATCCATAAATTTCTGATATTGAAATAGCTGTGGTACTTTACATTTGAGTCAAGTTTTATTTCTGATTTGTTTCCAGTTTTTATAGGACAACAAAATCTGCAGTTTATGAATATTTCTATGCCACCTTATTGTCAGCTTTGCAAAAAATCAGTAAATTGAGGGCTTTCTAGATGTTATGAGTAAAATCTTTGTTCATGGATTGATGAAGGTCCATCTCAAGACCTACCTCTTTGACCATGTTTTTGGTCATCTTTCCCCTCCTTAAACCCCTCAGCTCCCACCCCGCCTTGAGCACCCAGCTAGGATGTGAAACACCTCCTGACGTGAATGTAAATTTGTATTGTTCTGTTTCTGTCTTTCACCGAATGTCACATAACTTTCTGAGTGCTTTACACGGAAGTGATAGAATTACAAAGTCATTACATTTGGTTGCATTCCCCCTCCTATCCTTTTTTAAGATAATTAATGGGTGATGGTAGAATTACATACAACATCACAGAATGGAAACAGGGCACTCAGCCCAACTAGTCTGTAACGGAGATTATGCTAGGAGTTCTCAGAACTCATAAATCAGTTGTTGTATTTATTCTAGTGCAACCAGAATCGTCTTTATAAACCGTTACTAGACAAAACCTCCACAATTATTGGAGTTATGTTGCTTTAAGAAACGGATAAACAGCAGGTTTTATTTTCAAACTCTTACAAAATATCTGTTTTCCTGGAATACACAAAGAAGATTAAAAAAACTTGAAAAGTAAAATACTACAAGATATTTTAATAATTCTGGTTGGTACCTTTGCAGAGGCTTGAAGGGGTATGACGATTAGTCAGGGCAGTGGGACTGAATGAACACCTTGCTCTGAGAGACGGTGCAGACTCAATGGACCGAATGGCCTCCTTCTGTGCCGTAAATTTCTGATTCGACACCAGGTTAAAAATCTTCACCCCCAACAAGAGGCTGCCCTCACTGTCTATGACCCCGGCTTGTCTCACTCATTTAACATCAGCCTCTGTTTTGGGCTGCGAGGAATTTCTGAAAAATTGTCTTTTTAAAAAAGAGATTTAAAATATCATTGCTGGAGGTTTTTTTAAGAAAAAACAAAAAGGCACTTGTGTGTTAATAGAGTGCTGCTACACCATTCTAAGATAGATGGAGAAATATTTTTTCTCCCATTCTAGGTCTGTTTTAAACACAAACAACATTGGCATCAGTGTTGTTATTCTATCAAATTGTACAACCTCAGCAACAATCACCAACAAGAAATAGGCCGATTATTGGTTCAGTCGGACAACAGCTCAGGGCATGCAGAGATTGTGAGCTGTACAGATCTCATTACCTCCCTGGGTATTCTACCAGCTGGTTTCTAGTTCAATCCTTGTGTATTTTTCAGGTCAAAGCAGGACTGAAGCCTGACTGACCCAGAAAGGTTTACACACCCCTCGCATTCAGAACGCAAACTCTAGAAGGAGTAAGAGTGCAACAAGAAGGTACTTTTAGTAAAAAAAGAGTGAAAGAGGAACTGATAGACTGCCCGTTACCACATGCAAAATGAAGTACTGTTCAGAGCTGGCTGCAAACGAAAATCAGCCCACAGAGGAGAGAGACTGAAGCGTTATTTCACAGTGTGAGGACTTGATTTTCAACCATGCAATGAAAGAGAGACGATACAAAGCGACAAGTCCGGTGGTATTCTTACCAGGGCTTCATTATCTTCTGCAATTTCTGATAGCGTCTGCAAAATTTAAAAACTTTCACATATTACACAGTTCTTCATAATGTCATTCATAGCTCCACAAAGTACACTCAGACACCAGCTGTGGTGCTGGAGGAGTTCTACACACAGCGCAGAAACAAGTCAGAGGCATCACCTGCGTAAAGTAATACGGTTACTTTACTGCCATCTGTTGACATTTACATCTTTAAGCAAAGCTCCATCCCTAATCCCCTTTCTCACATCAGAGTGGCAGTGGGGGAAGAGAAAGAGGAAGAAACATATCATAAAGCAGGTACTTTGATCACATTCCTACTTTTAAGAATCCACATCCTTGAGTAACATTATGGGAAAGTTCCACTCTCCCAGCACATCAATTTTCTCCGATGAACAGTTTTAACTAAACAGCATTTAAAATGAGGGTCAGTGATCTTTTCAAATAAAACTACTGAAGTTAAATGCAATTCTCAAAATGCGTCTTTCAGTTTGCAGAGCTGCAAATCACATCAGAACATATTTGAAGAGAATTAAACAATGTCTTATTTTTGGGTCAACCGGTGTCTGATACATGCAGAAACCCATCAGCTTGCTTAAAAGTTGGCGAGAGTTAAGGCTTGGGGACCCCAGAGTGTGCGCTGGGGTACTGCTGGAGTCTAACCAGCTTAAAAATATATAGATTGCCATTGAGTGCAATGTCTGGCAAGTTCAGCTGAGACCACCCGATCCATGGCTCTGACTTGCAGGATTGACAGGAGGAGCCAAGTGGAAATCATATCTGTCCCCATTGACAGGTCTGACCCTCCAAGTTCTGCTGATGAGCCAGGTTACACTGTCATCAGCAGTGCCCTGGAATACTGCAGACCTACCTGGCTCAGGAACTGGACTACCGAGACATTCCATTGCCAAGCAATTCACCTTGTAGCCAGCTCATTCCCGAGGAGACCCTGTTTATTTCCCCACAAGGAGAACAGTCCGCAGTCTTATTCACAACAATACAGACAATGCACTAAATCACAGACCGTGTTAACGTTCAGAATATGCCGTTTGATTGCTACAACTTTAAATATAGAACATTGTCACCTTATTTTTTGTGTCTCCATATTTATATTGTGAATTGGACATTACCTGTAATGCATTATGATGGCTTTCGCATCGGTCAAAAAGGAACAAAAGAACAGCAAAGCATTTAATGTGTGTAGCACCAATGGAACCTGCTCCCGTTGTTAACTAAACTCTCTGCCTCCGTAATTGCAGTCTTTCTCCTGACCTGTACACTGCTATATATGTGAAGGTTTGGCAAGGATAGAATCGGGATGGGCTACAATCATCATCCGTTACCCACTCTCCTGCCTTCGAACAGTTTGCCGCCAACACTTACTGTGTAGACTCACACACAAAGTATGTCACCGAGAATCATAGACAATTCACAGCAATGAAGCAGGCTATTTGACCCATAAAGTCTGCACTGTTGTTTTCCCTCAGTTGGACGAGATTTCGGAGGGGGGCCAGTCCCCATAGAACTTTATCCCGGTGCCACTGTTGAACAGAAACAAGTAGCACACGGGTCCAATCCTTTCCTGAGCACTTCCCTATGCTATGCTGAAGAATGAAATCTGCACGTTCAAGGAGACTCAGCCAGTAAATTTTTTTGGGGAAAAAAAAGGAACATGCCACTTACACCGTGGTTGCACAGTGCTGATGAGCTTTGGAATTCACGGAAAGGGCCTAGCAACACACTGGCTGGTACAAGTTCACGCTCACAGTGAAAAGTGTAGCATTTTACCTCAGTATCATAAACACTGATGGGAATCAATCGGCTGAAAAAGGGGGAGGGAGGGAAATGGCAAAACGAATAGTGCCCTGGGAGGATAGGATTTTACTGACTCTTTGCTCTCCTACACCATCTCCATTCACAGCCCCTCATCTTCCCCATGTTTGGAATGTTTTTCTTTTAAAAGCATTGAAAAACTTGACGTCATTCTGAAAAGATACTTCACTTTTAAGGGAAAAAAAGGGTGGAGGGGGGGCTGTTGAAATTCCAGAACAAAACTTTTGATTCTTCTCCTTGTAGTTCTACAGAGGCAGGATTTCTCATTTCTGTAATTATTTTGCAGAATAAAAAAAGACTGCTACTCTCTTACCATTACAAGGCCCAGGAACAACAGCTGAATGTGCACAAATGATACCAGAAATGCTCACGCAAAACAAGTAGACAGCTTCACCACTTTACATCATGGAATAAGAAAAAGCTATACAGCCAATAAAATCCACTCCTTTCACAGACGATACAAAACCCACCCTGACATGGAGTCTACCCCACACACATCATCTCCCGGAGAAACTCTCTACAGAGATATTCCCCGATCCCCATAGTGAATCACGTAAAAGTACCAGAATATTACTTTTTTAGAAGTTATTTGACACAGCATCTTTCAAAAACATGATCCAAAACTGAAGCAATCAAATGATTTAAAGGCTCTTGTTTTAAACATACTTAACATAAATAAAATGTTCTAGCTTCTAAACTTATTCTACTTGTGGTGTCAGGGTGTTGGGTTTCAGCTAAGATCACAACAATGCCTGAATTTTAAATTTTGCAGCTCATCATTAACTCCTTTTTCCACCCCCATTTGTAACTCAAAATATGGCTGTTTCTAAATTTATCTTTTCTAAACTAAAGATACCTGCGTTAATTTAAGCAAATGCTAAAATATATCAGTTCCCATTTTCTCACTCAATTATAGTGTGTGTCTGATTTATTTCAGTCCTGCTTAGTCTTCCTTCTGCTTTTGAGTTCCTTTTCTTCCTTTTCTTTTGTTGAACCTGTTCACATTTAATACTTTGTACATTCACCTTCCTCTCCCCTTAACACAGGTTATACAAAACAAGAGAATGCCAGTAGCTGAGGTAGTTAATGGCAAACTCACGGCACAAATGGATGCCAAAAGAGTCACCACCAAAATTTGGGGAAAGAGCATTCAACAAGTGATGCTATGCACAAAATGCTCACCAATCCCTCCCCGGAACAAAGCTGATACTGAGTCTGACCATTTTATGCAAATAATTTTAATTCACAGGATGGTGCAAAGACTCAAAAAGGTAATTTCGGCCAGAATGAATGGCACACGTTAAATTAAATCTCAGTGTTTGAAACCGCAGCCATTTCTTTGAATTGCTATGTAATCATTAATTAATGTAAATGCAACTTCAACCTATGATCTGGTAATTATCAAGCGGCAGACCAGAAATGTGGTCAACTCCAAACAACAGTTACCGATTGCTTCAGGAATGGCCATCTCCCCCCCCACCACACACACATACTCACACACACACACACACATACACACACAGCATAGCGCTGGTCTCGGAGCTAGTGTTAACATTGTTCCTAGCGATGGCATGGATAGTAATGAGACAGGTGCCTTGTTGCTGATCACACAGCTCAGTGTTTTGGTTCTTCTTCACAACAGCACATTTACATTTGTATAACATTTATCATGTTAGGAGGGTGTCCCAAGGCACCAAATCATTATGCCAAAACCCGGTGGGGATGGGGGGGGTCACCACACAGTAGTGAAAACCATGGACTGTTATTACCCCATGGTTTGGTGTGTAGGATTGATTGTTTTTTGGTCAGCCAGGTGTCTGACATATGCGGAAACCGATCATTCCATGAATAACCAAACCAGATTGAGACTTCATATATACCACCTGTACATGGACAAGTCCATGTGTCTGTAATGGAATGCACACTCTCCCTCTGGAGGGACACACCTGTTTACTTAATTCTAGAGAGTATGAAACCACACGCTGGCAAGAGGCAAGGCTTGGGGAGCCCAGAGGGTGTGTTTAGTGCTGGAGTTTAACCAGCTGACACTGCATAGCTTGCAATGATAATTATCGTATCACAAGTTGCATTATTGCCCTTAATCAAAGTTTCACAGAGAGGAATGTAGATTTTGGCACTTTCCCACCATGATAATATGAACCTAAAAATGTTTCTCCTGCACTTCTTTCACTCCCCATTGCCCCTCCCCCCAGGGGGAAGGGCGGGATAGACAACTGAGAGTTTAATACATTTGCTTACATTCAGATAGTTTAATACACTTGCTATGTTCAGGTGTAGAGATACTTACTCATTGCCACTTTCCACCATCTGAGTTAGCAGAGAGATACCATCTAGGTTAATGAATTCTTGCGCAAAGGTGATGTCACGGGAATAGCTAGCCAGGTCCTTCAATGCTTCCAACTTAGCATCCATGCTGGATGACTGGATCCTCCCGTGAAGTCCCTCTGCAGCCTGGGACTAGATGAAAGCAGAGAACATGTAATTTACCTTCCCCCACCTCCACCATTACCAACCCTTGTCCCAAACCAAACTTGATCAGGTCAAAGAACTATAAAGGCTGCATAAGCCACTTACTGGAGATTGGGTTAATCGAAGGATCGCTCCATTTTTTATTTCATTACGGTTCTGGAGAGGGAAAAAAATGATAGAGGGTTGGATTCATTTTAGATCATAGCTTAAAGATTTCCAGTCACTAACGGACCCAGCACTAACCATCCACTACTAGACACCACTATTCTGATAATAATAACCATTACATTGGATATAACGCCTTATCATGTCATCGAGACACCTCAAAGAGCTTCACAGGATATACTGTAAAGTGGATTGACTATGTATTTTGTGGGCGAAACCCAGCAGCTAGCTCGCACACAACAGTGTCCCACAACTGGCCATGGAGTGAGTGACCAATTTTATTCAGGGGATTGTTGGCCAGGACACCGGGAGGAACTCCCTTCTCTTTTCGAATAGTGCCATGGGACCCTTAACATCTACCTGAACAGGCAGACAGGACCTTGGATTAATGTCTCACCCGAAGGAAGGCACCTCCAACAATGGAACAACCCTCGGCACTGCACTGAAGTGTCATCTTAGAGAATGTGATTCCAATGTGGGGCTTGAACCCACAACCTTCTGACTCACAGGCAAGAGTTCTACCACTCATGACAAGTTACTATTTTCCTCCCTCGGGGTCTTCTCACTCAATGCATCAGCCTCTGCCAATACCGCAAATGAACTATACACAAATTCAACCCAGGCTAGTTCCCTCTCCAATTCCTCTCCAGCCAGCCTGGATGATATCGGGACCCATATTCAGAGAGTGGAAGTTGTCTGTATAACTCCATAGGTGATGCCACAATGCCTGTGGTATCAGTCCTAAGTGAATCAATTGGGTTTGTGTTCACTTGATATGGAGAGGATGCAGCAGTCCAGTGACCCTGAGTTACTGTCAACTGGAATCAGGAACAAAGATTCAACAATCAATGTGAATATGAATCCACTAATCTGCAGATTACATTAGGAGAACATCATGTGGTACCAGCTAGCAACTTAAAAATTGGCATAATTAAAAATATGAGGTGTGCGCTATTGGTACAATTAATAAATAAGAGATGTCCACAAAAGCAAGTGGGGCAAAAATCCATAGGATTTAAAATGTCCTGAGACGAGGAAGCAAGTTCACTGTGGATTGCTGAAATTATGCAATGGAACATCAACAACTTCCATTTATATAATGCCCTTCACACAGGATAGCGTGTCAAAGTGCTGCACAGTAGATCAAATACAGTATCTATGGTCAATATGAAAATTATCCGGAAATGGAAAAACCATTCAATAACATATAAGAACACAGGGAATAATAATAATCTTGCATTCGAAATAGCACCTTATCACGTTGTTTAGATGTCTCAAAGCGCATCACAGGACATACTATAAAGTGGATATTTTGTGGGTGAACATGGAAGCCAATTTCTGCAAAGCAGTGTCCCACAAACAGCTAACAAGTGAGTGACCATTTTTATTTGGGGGATTTGTTGACCAGGACACATAAATACCCATTGTGGGAGTTGTGGGTTGATTTCACAAACTAAATTTCTCCATTATATGTCAATGGAAGGTGAGCCAAAGGTCAAACCTCATGCCAGAGAATGAGAGCTTCAGCTTCGCCTTTCTCTGGTTATGTCCAGTGAGTGAGACCTACTGCATTCAGTTCTATATAGAGGACTTTCATAGAGCCACAGGACACCTCCTGAACAGAAGAAGATATTCAGTCCATTGTGTCTGCGCTGGTGCTAACTTCTCCACTGGAGTTATAGTCTCTATTTCAATTCCCCTGCTCTTTCCCTTTCCCCCATTTCATATATTTATCCAATTCTCTATTAAGTGTAATGATCCACAAGGCTTCAGTCGTCATTTATGGCCAGAAATTCCACATTTTAGCAACCTTTTATGTAAAACAAATTCTTCTAAACTCTGTTGTGGACACATCTAACCTCCAATCAGTACTCAACCATGTCTTGAGAGTATCGCAAATCTGTTGGGTTTAGACCAAGACACAGAAACACTAAGAGTCCAGGCACTAAGCTGTTTAATAAACAGCTTGATGCTGTGATTTGAACATGACGGAAGGATGAGAAGAAGGGCCTTCGTTGTCTAAATCAATCTTGCAACAGAAAAAATCTAATTCATCCCTGCAGGTATCCATGGATTACAGAACATGCCACAAACTCAAAGCGGATGATTAACCAAACCCAATGCTATGTTCTACTCTAGCCACATGGTGGCAGACACCCTCCTTTATAGAATTAAGGCTGTAGCAGACTCTTCAGTGCACATCATACTAATTTCCCACAGCTAATTGGAAACTATAATGAAGACATTCTCCATCCCAAGCTGCACTCAATATAAAATTAAATCAGATACAGTGGGTAACTGTATCCACTGTACCCTCCCTGATCCTAACCACCCCCCACAACGGGTCGGGTCCTAATCCCTGACTGTTCAGCAGATGGGACGTCCTCCCGACGTAAAAGGCGCTTTACAAATGTAATTTTGTACTGTAACTCACCATTAAGGGCAATCAATAGACTGGTCTATTTCCCACTTGGCAGTGAACTGCTCTCGTTAGTGAGTTTTTCAATTTTAGTCAACAACTATTTGCATTTATGTTGTGCCCTTCATATACTGTATGTAGTGTCTCAGGACCTTTAAGAGGGATGAGGTTGCAAAGTGGAGGGAAGAGGACAGGGTGGCAATAAGCGTATGCACAGATGGAATTCCAGAATTTGGGGGAGTTTGAAAGTGAGGGTTCACTCGGCCACCATTGATGGCATGGAGAGGGCAGGAAGGAAGCAGGTGTTAGCTGAGGGTGGGGGAGGAGATTAGAGAGATAAGGGGGTGACAGGGAAGGGTGAATTTGTAGGTTAGGGTGAGGGCCTTGAAATCGATCCACTGGGAGTCAGGGAGGCTAGCGAAGACTGGGTTGACAAGAGTGAGGAGGTTGGTGCAAGTGAGGTTGTAGGTAGCAGTTTTGGATGAGTTTTGGCTTGCGAATGGTGACCAGCAAGGATTGTCTAAGTGAGACGTAAAGAAGGTGTGAATGAGTGTTTCAGTGGCGTTGGGTGTGACATCGGGACAACAACAACAATTTGCATTTATATAGTGTCCCTCACGCATGGTAGTGTCCCAGAGTGTTTTAGAGAGGCAGAAAAGAAGGAAAAGGCCAGACGTGAGGGAGAAAAGAAAACTAAGGATTGAACCAGACACCAAGGTTGCGTGCTGGTTCGAGGAGTTTGAGAGAGAGGCCAGGGAGGTTGGAGGGTTTTTCTTTAACCTTCCACTCCTCCAGCTCTTGACCTTTTACTCACACAGTCCTGACCCAACTGTATAGCGCCTTGGGATGTCCTTCCCGACGTGAAAGGCGCTTTATAAATGGAATCTTGTTGTTGTTGTTGTTATTGTAACAGAGGGGAGGGAGGGGAGGAAAAATGTTTTCACACAGTGAGTTGTTCGGATCTGGAATGCATTGCCTTGAAATGGCGGTGGAAGCTGATTTGATAACAATTTTCAAGAGAGAAGTGGATAATTATTTGGGGAGGACAAGTTTGCAGGGCTATGGGGAGAAAGCTGGAGAGTGGGATTGAATTGGATAACTCTTTTCAAAGAACCGGCACAGACACGATGGGCCGAATGGCCTCCTTCTGTGCTGTATAATTCTATGATTCTATGATCTCAACACTGGTGGCCAAGCCTTCAGCCAACGTGACACTTTCCTCCAGAACTCTCCCCAAATCTCTTTGCCTCATATCTTCTCTCCACTTCCAAAATCCTCTTGAAAAAAATCTATCTCTGTGAGTGTGCTTTTTGGGTTAAAATCCTTAAATCTCCCTTTCCCTGCTCATTGCTCTCTGTTAAGATGTATAAGAGCTTTAAAATGTTCATCTTCTCCAGCTGAATCGTTACAGATTATGGTAAAGGGTAACACCCCGAACTAGAGTCTTCTTATGAATTTTTGGTTAATCTGATGAAAACATTTATTACTTTTGGAATGACCTTTCTTTATGTTTATCTTCTCACCAGAGCGACTGCTCTTTAATCTAGTTCTAGTAAAAAAAAATGCTGATAATATGGAATATAGTAAAACATTTTTTTTGCGCTCAGCCAGATGGCCAACATATGCAGAAACTCATCATCACCATGACTAGGGATATCTAAACCAGATAGCATTCCACCTATTGATGTGCAAAAACTTGTCATCGAGTCAGAGCCTAGTTGGCAGGTCACACAAGATAACAAGATCAGTCAGGTGAAGAAAGGCCCTTTGGCCCAATAACCATAGAAATTTACAGTATGGAAGAAGGCATTTGGTACATCGTGTCTGTGCTGGCTCCTGCAGTCCTTCTTGTCCCACTTACCAGCCTTTGAAGCTGACTATTTTTAAGGTGTTTGTCTAGTTCCGTTTGTGGGACACTGAGGTGCGCAATTGGCTGTCGCGTTTCGCCCACAAAATATAGAGTTAATTCACTTTACAGTGTATTCTGTGAAGCGCTTTGAGACTTGAGACTTCGAAGACGTGATGAGGGCCTTATATCAAATGCAAGGATTATTATTATTGCTCATTCACTATCTTAAATTGATGCCCTCCTGTTACTGACGTCCCAACCAGTGGAAATAATTTCTCCCGATTGACTCTTACCAAACCTCTCATCATTTTAAAGACCTCTATCAGGTCACCGCTCAATCATCTTTGTATCATCCTAATAATTCTCCTCTGCACTTCTTCTATTGCCTTGATATCTTTTCCAAAGTGGGGTCACCAATACTGGTATTCAAACTGAAGTCTAAAACAATTCATGTAACTTTAGTCTTATCTCGCTGCTTTTACATTCTCTACCCCTATTCATAAAACGTTAGATTCCATTTTTTTTTGACAGCTTTGTCCCACCTGCCTTTCCCTTTAGCAACCAAAATATAGTTTTTGTCCTTATTCTTCCTCACAAAATTTACACCCTCACAACTGTCCGTATTAAATTTCATTTTCCTTTTCTTTGCCCATTCAACTAATCTGTCTGTCTCAACCTGTCATCGGTCCAGAATACCCACCCTACCATCTTCCCATCACAGCATCACGCTGTTTTTTAGACAACTCCAGTCCTGGCCTTGACCACTCTTACTTTAAAGAGTCCCCATTTGTACAACTCTGATTCCTCATTGGAGTCCCCCATTAAACACAGCAAGTCAGACTCCATTATTTCTGCAATTATTTCTACAATTATACCTCGGTACAAAAATCTTTCCTTTTTTTTGCAAGTAGAGATTCACATGGTAAGATGCAATAAAAGTCACAGACATTTAAAATACATTTTAAATGAATGAATCGAAATCACCCTCTCTCTTTCTCTCTCTCTTTCTCTCTCATACATACTTACCTTTTCTGTGATGTAAAAGTTGTTGCTGTCTGCATGCTGCAGAGCATAATTTTCAGGGTTTACCAGAGTCCAGCTTCATTTTCAAAACAAAATAGAAAAAATAAATTTTCACATCGCGTCATTCATTAGTCATTACAAATCGCGTCCAATGTCTTCGGCAGAGGGGCAAAGAAGTCAAAAGGAGGGCACGACAGTAATACCACGGTTATTTAGTATTATTGTTATTATATGTTATAATATATCTATTCAAAACGTACAAATCTCTCAATTGTCTTTCTCGCAAAGCTTCCCCAGGTGGCTCAACTAGTGATGCCTCTGCACAGTGTGAAATTGAGCCACTCAGACTGGGAAAGCAGCTGATCTCAACCAAGACATCGGGCCTTTGGGCTTGGAGAGGAGCGAGGAATCTCTGGGGTATAGCACTCTTGATACCTCTCCAGTGACTCCTGTAGCAAAATGAACTCAAGTGTCAGATAAAGTCAGGCTCAGCTTGGGCCTCAGTTCTGGAGCTCTGCCACAGTTATGATAAGCAGCCAACACTTGTTGTCTGAACTCACAAGGAGCAGGCAGACAGTCACTAGAGAGACCGGTCCAGAGCAGAGCATTGCTCCACTTGGAACAATACCCGGGAAGCAAAGATTCACGCTGCTTTTCCGTGGCTGCTGCCAGCCTTCTGACACTTCGCACTTTCAAGCAGAACTCACTGGATGGAAATCAGAAGCCAAAATTGCTCCTAGCCACACTCTGCGACACCACAAAATAGCTGATACTTAGAGATTCTGAAGCATTGTGGAAAATTCTTGAAAAATTCAGTCTTAATTTGGAAACTTTTGTTTAAAAAGAACTGCAGGAAAAGCAGATGGCAAGTTAAGAATTTTCCACAAATTCTGCTAAAAATTTAATTTTACGTCAGAATGATCTTAAAGGGTAAGAGCAGTGAAATCTCACGTCTTGGAATGAGACTCTCCCACCCCCCATCCCACTTTGCTGTCTATTCTTTTTTCTCTCCTAGGCCGGGGCACTGTGTGATAGTAATACTCTATATACTACTGCCCCAGTTCAGCTGCCTCAGCCCAGACCAGGATTTAACTTGTGAACTTCCTGAGTATTGTACTGTAGCTCAGTCCCATATGAGATGGTGCAATTCACCATAAAACCATCAAATATCGAATCTGAAACTAAATCAGAATGGACTTCCATTGGATCCACTGTCAGACTAGTATCCCAGTTTCAGCTGGTGCAGCAATTTTCACTTCATTTTATTGAATAGTGCTTACTTTCAAACCCAATATCACACAGCAGTGGTGAATGGAGCCTATAGGGACATTCAGGATGGACATGGATCTGGAATAATGTAGGTCACTGAAGCGTTTAAGTTCACGTTTGCTAAAACAAACAGTATTTTTCCTTATTCCTCTTCTAGGCTTTGGCACAGATCCACTGTGAATGATTACATCTCATGGATTCCCAAATAAGCACTCAATCCAGAATCCCTGACATTTCTCTTTCATTAATCCCCCCTGTTCCTCCTCACTTTGAAGTAAGTGATCACCTTTCCTGAAACAAGAGGGCCAACAGGTAATCAACTCTCAGAAGTCTGTGGACACCACACTCGAGCTGAATGGAAGGAAACTGCACAGAAACATCTGGTCACGGGCCCACTTACTGTGTCTCCCTCTCTACCTCCTTTCCTGTGAGGAGGCTCCTGCAGCCTCTCCTCCAACATCCTGACTGAGATCAAGTTCAGATAAAGTCACTTGGTTAAGCGCTTTGGGACGTCCTCCCGACGCTATATCAAATGCAAGGATTATTATTATTATTATTATTGGTTAAGACTAGCACAAACCATCCCCAGGACAGGGCTCATTGAGTCAGTCACTGAGGCACTCACTGTCACCTCATAACAGCCCAATCCTTATCCACAGCAAAGAAATTCTTCAACAACGTGTGTATTGTGCAACGGGCTTGGGACGCACAGACACTGGAATACATTCAGCAGCACTTACCCATCACAGACTTCTCGTATGATTGAGGCCAATGGCTTTTTCTGCAAAAATACCAGGGAAAATAGAATTAGTGTCTTTGATACACGGGCGCTAATGCAAGACACCAGTCCCCTGGAGTTTCACCGTTGGAATCCAAATTCCACTTTGCCAGCCGTGCAAACCTGAAGAGAACACACACACACACACCTCTGATGACAACCTGCACACAGGAGAGTCTGCACTGTAGCGTCATGTGTGTATGCGAAATAAATCAAAGCGGTGATGTACTGTGAAGTCTGGTTTTAGAGTCACACAATTCTATGGTCAAAACCACTTTACAGTATATTCTGAGAAGCGCTTTGAAACATCTCCATGACATAAGGAGGCGCTATATCAAATGCAAGGATTATTATTATTGTGCGATTATATTTTTGGAATAGAAAAGAGCAACTCGCATCAGTTCAATCTAAGAGCTTTCAGCTAAATGGTAAATTAATTCAGGAGAGGGACTTATACTCTGTTTCACGATAATAGAAGCTCTTCAACAGCAACTTTTCAGCAGAAAAGGTTTAGAAATATTGTTTTAACATTCTGAATCACACACGCACATGCCTGCCTCATTGTCTGACATTACATATACAAAACAATGATTATAATATTGTGCCTAACCTCAGTCTTTGTTTAATCTTGGATCTACCTTTATAATAATCTTTGCATTTGATATAGTGCATTTGATATAGTGCATTTGATATAGTGCATTTGATATAGTGCATTTGATATAGTGCATTATCACATCATTAAGACACCTCAAAGGGCTTCACATGAAGTGTATTTCCGGCCAAACATTACAGCCAATTTGCACACAGCAATGTACCACAGTGAGGAAATGAATTATCAATTTTATCTGAGGGTTTCTTGGCCAGGACACCGGGAGAAACACCCTTCTCTTTTCACTTTGCATCATCTTTAATGTCCAACTGAACAGACAGACAATAATAATAATAATAATAACCCTTGCATTTGATATAGGGCCTAATCACATCTTTGAGACGTCTCAAAGCGCTTCACAGAACAACAACGATTTGTATTCATATAGCGCGCTTCACCTGGGGTTGCGTCACAGAGCGAGGATGTCCTCCTGACGTGAAAGGCACTATACAAATGTCATTTTGTTGTTTTTAATATATTTAATTGACTGTATATTTGTGGGCGAAACATGGCAGCCAATTGCGCACAGCAGTGTCCCACAAACAGTCGTGGATTCCATAACCAAATTATAATTTTTTTTTGACGGGATTATTACCTCCGGAAAAGCAATCCACCAATCAACTAACAAACGGGTTCTTACTTACTGCTAAGTAAACAGAGAAGTGTGGAGTAAGGAAACTTAAACTCAATCCTGAGCGATGGGAAGCCAGTGGAGCCGGTCGAGGATGAGGGGGATCAGCTCACAGAGTTTAGTGCGGGAAAGGACACGAGCTGCAGAGTTCTGAATAATCTCTAGCTTGTGGAGGGAAGAGTTGGGAAGGCCGACGAGCAGGGAGTTAGTATAGTCAAGCCTGGACTTGACAAAAGTGTGGGATATCCTTCTGAATTGAAAGGCACGATACTAATGTAATTTGTTGTTGTTGTTCAAAGCATGGATGAGGGTCTTGGTGACCTGAAGGGAGAGGTTGTGGCTGGCAGAGGTGGGCAATGTTGCAGAGGTGGGGGAAGGTAGAATGGGTCATGGCAGATTCAGGGTTTAAAAGACAGCTGGGGATCAAACAAGATTCCACCATGTTGTACGGGCTCAGTGAGCTAATGGTGATCATTAACAGTGATCCTGTCAACACCTGAGATGAGAAGACACTGACGAGAGGCAAGTAGGGGGACATTATCGGCATTCATCTAGAAAAAACAATTGGCTCTCATCCCGGACTTGATATCTGCCAAGATAATCCATCAGGACAGCAGTGGTCCTCGAGTCGAGGGTGGAGGCAGAGAGACAGAGTTGGTGTCATCCGCACAAACGCGGAAGTTAACCCCATGCCTGAGGATGATATCACCGAGTGGAAGCATGTAATTAAAGAAGAGATGATCAAGGACACAGCCCTGGGGATCGCTGCACGTGATGTTAATGGATACAAAGTGGAGATAATGGGAAAGGTAAGAATGAAACCAGGTAAGGGCAGAACTGTGAAGGTGGTCCTGAGAGGAGAGGAAGTCGATAACAACAACAACAACTTACATTTGTATACAGCCGAAAGAGCCTTTCACGTCAGGAGGACATCCCAAGGTGCTGGACAGTCAAGGATTTCGACCCGAGCGGGGGGTTGGGATCAGGAGGAATGGAATAATGATAATGGGGGTTGATAATGGGGATAGCAGGTCACAGAGGTAGGAAGTTGCAATGCCATAGAGGGCCTTGAAGGCGAGGACGAGGATTTTGAATTGGATCCTTTGGGGGATGGGGAATCAGTGGAGCCGGGCGAGGGTGGGGGTGATGGAGTCACGGAGCCTGGTGCGGGAGAGGACACAAGCTTCAGAGTTCCTGATGATCTGCAGCTTGTGGAGGGAAGAGCTGGGAAGACCGGCAAGCAGGGAGTTTGCGTAGTCCAGCCTAGATGTGATAAATGCGTGGATGAGGGTTGAATGTCAGCAAGACCGAGGCTCTCCTGATTGGCTTGCGCCGGTGCCTCCGCACTTCAGGCACTGCCAGCATCAGCGTCTACGGATGCAAACTCCACCTCACCAAGCCAGTCGGGCACTTGAGTGTCTTGTTCGACCCTCAATTGTCCTTTCTCCCCCATATCCGTGCCGTGACCCACTCTGCCTTCCCCCAGCTCTGCAACATTGCCCGATCTCGCTACCGCCTCACCACATGGCACTTATTTGAAAAAGAGAATGGCGGTTCTCTGGTTGCCCTGCCTAACAATCGCCCAAAATAAAAAAATACCAATATTAATTTCACAGCTATTTGTGGGACATTGTTGGGCACAAATTATCTGGGGGATTCAGCTGCAAATTCACAGCAGCTGCCCTTTACAAAATAATCTATGAAGCTGTTTTGAGATTTTTGATGTGATCAGATACGATATCAAATGCAAGTATTAACATCATTATCCACCTCCCTGTTAAACATGCTGATCGATTCTGCAGTTACCTCATTCGAGGGCAACAATAATGTGCATTTACATAGCACCCTTCATGCAGAATAACGTATGGTCAATATAAAATGGAGGGTTTGAACTTTTTCACAGGAGTTACTATTGCAAAATTTGTTCTTCGCTCATTGCCCTTTACATTCACAGAACAAACAGGCATTTCTGCTTTCAAAACCAGCACTTTTTGCTTTTGATTTTTTGCCTGGAAAGAAAAAAAAGTTTCAGCAACTGCATGTGAACAAATCAAAAAGGTAGAATCATCTCGCTTCTGATAGAAAGCTACCATCGCAGATAGGAAGGACATACAAACTCTTCTTACCTGATCTATTTCCATCAGCTTGGGAAAGGCCCCAGGCCATTCGATGGCCACCTTGACAGAGTCCGACGGTGGTGGCATCCTGCACGTTTAGACTCTCGCTCAAGGCTGGTGCAGGAATCTCATCCGACCCTGAAGGAAAACGCACGCAGGAGAGACAGAGAGATAGTCAGCTTAGCAAATCCATTCCGTCCTTGTGTTTTATTTCCAATGCAATAAAGTTCTGATAATCACCACATGGAAGAACTGAATACCACTCCATTACCAATTCTATGCACCAGCCACCTCACTACCAGTTCTTTTTATCAGCCCATGATATATATATATGTATCATATATATTCAAAATATATTTTGTTTTAGAAAAGGAGAGTGTTTTGGAGGGATGAACAACAAATTAACAACAATTACATTTGGATAGCTCCTTTCACGTCAGGAGAACATCCCAAGATAACCCAAGGCAAGGAGAAATGGAGTAAAACCAAGGGATTTAGGGAAGAGTGCTGGAGCACTAGTTCGTGACTCATTTATAAGAACATAAGAAATAGGAGCAGGAGTAGACCATTCGGCCCCTCGAGCCTGCCCCGCCATTTAATAAGATCATGGCTGATCTACTAACCTAATTCCATTTACCCGCCCTATCCCCATATCCCTTAATTCCTTTAGTTTTTAAAAATCTATCAATCTCAGTCTTGAATATGTTCAATGACTGAGCATCCACAGCCTTCTCGGGTAGAGAATTACATAAATTCACTACCCTCTGAGCGAAGAAATGTTTTCTCAACTCAGTTCAAAAGGGCTGACCTTTAATCCTGAGAATATGACCCCTAGTTTTAGATTCTCCAACCAGGGGAAACAGTCTCACACTATCTACTCTGTCAAGACCCTTAAGAATCTTATAGGTTTCTATAAGATCACCTCTAATTCTTCTATATTCTAGAGAATATAGGCCTAGTCTACTCAACCTCTCCTCGTAGGTCAACACACTCATCCCAGGAACCAACCTACTACAACAACAACTTGGATTTATATAGCGCCCTCCACTCCGGATGGCATCTCAGAGCGCTTCACAATAACAGATCCCGGGGACGAGCCAGGGGGAGGGGGAGGAAGGTGACCAAAGGCGCGGTCGAAAAGACAGGTCTTCAGCCGAGACCTGGAAACATGAAGAGAGGGGGTGAGGCAAAGAGAGTGAGGAAGGAAGTTCCAGAGCCTCAGGGAGTAGTGGCTGAAGGCACGGCCGCCAATGGTGGAGTGGCGGATTCGGGGGACAAGGAGGTGGAGCCGGTGGAGCGAAGACAACGGGACTGTTGTGAGAAGAGAGGAGGTCACAGAGGTAGGGGGATGCAGAGGAGTGGAGGGATTTGAAGACAAGGGTGAGGATCTTGAAGTCGATCCTCTCTGGGACAGGGAGCCAGTGCAGTCTGGCAGGGACTGGGGCAATCGGGGAGCGGAGTTTGGTGCGGGTAAGAATGCGGGCGGCAGAGTTTTGGATGACCTGGATTTTATGAATGGTAGTGGAGGGGAGATCGGCGAGGAGGCGTTAGAGTAGTCCAGCCGAGAGGTGACAAAGGCATGGACCAGGGTTTCAGCAGCTTTTGGAGTGAGGTATTTGCGGAGACAGGTGATGTGTCGGAACCTACGTTGCATCCCCTCTAAGCCGAGTATATCCTTTCTAAGATAAGGAGACCAAAACTACACACAATATTCCAGGTGCAGTCTCACCAAGACCCTATACAATTGCAGCAAGACTTCCCTACTCTTGTACTCTAACCTTTGCAATAAACGCTAACATGCTATTAGCCTTCCTAATTGCTTGCTGTACCTGCTTACTAACTTTCTGTGATTGGTTTACAAGGACACCTAAATCCCGCTGAATACAAATACTATCTAATCTCTCCCCCTCTAGAAAATAATCTGCTTTTCTATTTTTTCTACCTAGGTGAATAACTTCACATTTCCCCACATTATTCTGCCACCTTCTTGGTGGTGTCCTGTAGCTCAGTGGTTGAGCACTCGCTTTGCAAGCGAGAGACCTGAGTTCAATTCCAGGCAGGGCGAAACCTTGGGCAAGTTTCCTTACTCCACACGCCTAATAATAATCCCTCCAAAACCAAAACAATAATAAATTGGTCATTTTCAATCCACGACTGTTTGTGGGACATTGCTGTGCGCAATTGGCTGCCGCGTTCGCCCACAAATATACAGTCAATTCACTTTACAGTGTGTTCTGTGAAGCGCTTTGGGACGTCCTCCCGACGTGAAAAGCGCTATATCAAATGCAAGGATTATTATTATTATTATTATTCTTGTTCACTCACTTAACCTATCTATATCCCTTTGCATCTTCCTTGTGTCCTCCTCACAGCTTACTTTCCCACCTAGCTTTGTATCATCCACAAATTTAGATACATTAAGCTCTACTTCCTCATCTAAGTGATTGATGTAGACTGTAAACAGTTGAGGCCCAAACGCCGATCCTTGCGGCACTCCACTAGTCACAACCTGTCAATCTGAAAAGAATCCATTTATCCCTACTCTCTTTTTTCTGCCTGTTAAACACTCTTCGATCTATGCTAATATATTACCCCCTAATTCCTTGAGCTATAATCTTATGTGACAACCTTTTAGGTGGCACCTTGTCGAATGCCTTCTGAAAATTCAAGTACACTAGATCCACTGGTTCCCCCTATCTAACCTGCTAGTTACATCTTCAAAAAACTCTAAAAGATTTGTTAAACACGATTTCCCTTTCATAAAACCATTGACTCATTATTATGACTTTCTAAGTGACCCAAGACTACGTCCCTAATTATAGAATTTTTCCTACCACCGTAATTAGTCTATAGTTCCCCATTTGTTCTCTTCCACACTTCTTAAATAGCGGTGTTATGTTTGCGATCTTCCAATCAACGGGAACCATTTCAGAATCCAGGGAATTCTGGAAGATCAAAAACAATACATCCACTATCTCTGCAGCCACCTCTTTTAAAACCCTAGGATGCAGGCCATCAGGTCCAGGGGATTTATCAGATTTTAGTCCCATCAATTTCTCTAGTGCTATTACTTTACTGATATTAATTTCTTTAAGTTCCTCACAAACATTAGTCTCTTGGTTCCCCACTATGTTTGGTAAGTTTTTAGCATCTTCCAACGTGAAGACAGAAGCAAAGTATTCGTTTAGTGACTCTGCCATTTCTTTATTCCCCATTATAATTTCTCTTGTCTCTGCCTGTAAGGGACCCACATTTACTTTTGTTAATCTCTTCTTCTTTATATACTTGTAAAAGCTCTTACAATCTGTCGTTATATCTCCAGCTAGTTTATTCTCATCTTCCATTTTCTCCCTCTTAATCATTTTCTTGGTTATCTCTTTGCTGATCTCTAAAGCCCTCTCAATCCTCAGGTTTCAGATCTTTTTGGCAATATTATAGGTCTCTTCTTTTAATTAAACAGGCAGATCAGGGAGAGAAAAGGTGTGTCTTGGTCCCAGACACACCTTTTCTCTCCCTGATTTGTGTGGTTTGTTGCAAGTTTTCTTTCCCCCCATCTTTGCTCTGCATCATTAACACCTCTTTAACCCATCATCCCCTGTCTCTACCCCATTTTCTGCTTTGTCTTCCTTGCCCTGCCCCCCTCCCACCCTTTCTGTTTGCCCTTAAAAGCCTCTCCCTCCCAACACGCCCCAGTCCTGACGAAGGGTCGTGGACCCGAAATGTTGACTCACTTTCCTTTCTCCATAGATGCTGCCTGACCTACTGAGTGTTCCCAGCGACTTCTGTTTCTATTTTACAGTGTCAGCCTGGCTTAGTTAACAACAACAAAATTACATTTATAGAGCGCCTTTCACGTCGGGAGGACGTGCCAAGGCACTGGACAGTCAGGGGTCAGGACCCGAGCATGAGGGAGGGGTGGGGTAGGGGTGAGGGAAGGCAGAGAGGTGGGAGAGCGACCGAAGGCACGATCGAAGAGGAAGGGCTTGAGACCGGCCTTTAAGGCGGCAAGGGAGGAAGCGAGGCGAAGGGACTGTGGGATGGAGTTCCAGAATGTGGGCAGAGAGGCTGAAAGCCTGTCCACCGATGATAGGGTGGGTCGGGCGGGAGACATGGAGCAGACCGCCCGCTGAACAGAGGGAGCGGGCAGGTTGGTAGGGAATCAGCAGGTCAGAGAGGTAGGAGGGGGCAAGGCCATAGATGGCCTTGAAAGTGAGGACGAGGATCTTGAATTCGATCCTCTAAGGGATGGGGAGCCAGTGGGAGTGGGGTGAGGGTGGGAGTGATGGGGTCACGGAGCCTGGTGCGCGAGAGTACACGAGCTGCAGAGTTTTGGATTCTACACTCTTGCTTAAGACTCAAAAGATTGTGGATTCAAGCCCCAAGACAAGACTTTGAACTCACAGTCTAGGCTGACACTCCAGTACAGTGCTTCGGCTAAGAAAATAAACCAAGGTCCCATCAGCTTTTTCAGGTGAGACTAAAGATCCCTTGACTATCAATCCTCCAGAGAGAAAAAAAATGATCATTCATTTCATGGCTGTTTGTGGGACACTACTGCGCCAAAATCACCTGCCCCATTCATCTACAAATACAGCCACTACACTTCACAGAAAATCTTGTAAGTGCTTTGAGATGTTGAAGACGTGAGCTGCATTAAATGTAATTATTATTATTATTATAAATAATAAGCAGGGCATCAATTCACTTTGAAATCCTGCACTCTTGTCCAAGACTAGTAGGTCTCAGACAAGTGTCACTTGCACTATAAGACGTTTTAAGAGTCACAAGCTCAGATGAAACAGGTCTCTTCTCCCCCCTCCCATGTTCACCATCTCCTGACGCACGCGGACACACACACTCACACAATGCACCTTCCCACATACACACACACAGTGCCAATCCCCACACACATGATGCCAATCCCCCACACCCCCATGCACACACATATTTGGTACCAGCCCCCCCACACACTCAGTACAGCATCCTCTTGCCCCCGCCCCTCCCACCCACTACACACACACACACACAGACAAAGGGTATAAGATAAGATAGAGCAGGGAACTGGATTTAGAGTAGATACTTCCAGTGGGGAGCAAGCAACAATGATCACAGTGGGCCCAATGGCCTCCTTTCTGTCT